ATCAGCACCAGCAGCAGCTCAGGCAGGGATTCCCAAAATAGCCTCCTCCAAAAAGGCACAGACACGCACATCCCCTTTTCCCTGCTGCTGGGATTTAGGGAATAAAGGCTTTGGGTGACCCCTGCCCCTCTGTAGCCCCAGCTCTGTCCCCCTGTGCCAGGCAGGGCCTCCTTCAGCTCAACACAGCCCTGCTCCAGCTCCTGCTGCATCCCTGTGTCAGTGTGTCTTGGTTTGAAAGGACAGGTGTCTCCTGAGAAAGGCAGGAGCCTCCTTTGAAATGGAGAAGGCAAACCCCCTCCATCCAAATTATTATAGTTTTGAAATTAAGGGGGCTCTCAGACAAAGATATGGGAGTAGGAATAACAGTTCTTTATTAGGAAAACTAAAAACACAAATGCAATTGTACAAAGAAAACAAACCACTGCCAGAGTCAGAGCAGGCCCTGTCCCCCTGAGTGTCAGGGTGGTGGCACAGTCCCATCCCATGGGGGCTCAGCCCTCCTGCAGTGCCAGCTGTGGTTCTGCTGGAGCAGGGATCCTGCACAAGGCTGCAGTTTTCCTCTGAAGCTCCAGGGCTGCTGGAGATGGGCCTGCTCTTCCTCTGGCAATGCAGGGCAGGAGAAAGCTGCTCCTCTGGGAATGCAGTGGGCAAAGGCTGCTGTGCTGTTCCAGGCTCAGATTGTATCCAGGTAGGAATGCTTGGCTCCTGCCCTGGCCGGAGCATCTCCCAGTGGGATGATGGAATTTGATCAGCCCTGCAGGGACACTCCCTGGCCATGAACAGAAGATAATTCATAATTAATGGCTCATGAACAGAAGAGATCTCCTGGAGGGTGGATTGGTTGTGGAAGAGATAAAGAAAACTGCCCCATGAACAGAAGATAACTGCCCCACCTCTAATTGATGGTGATTGAATACACAGCCCCAGCCACATCTTCTGACCTAAGACACACAGAGCATCCATGGAGCATCCTCAGCAGCACTGGCTGAGGCTGAGCACATGGCCCTTCCCAACACTGGGGCTCTGAGGGCTCACTGAAGGTTTGCTCTGGGCCTGAAAGGTGGAGCTCCAAGAGCTCCAAGGTGCTCTTCCTTGCAGGAGGTTTGTTTCCACAGCTGCACCCTGGAGCTGGGCTTCAAGCTGCACCCCTCTGATCTCTGTCCTTCAATGAAGAGCAGGTTTCCATGTACAAATACGTTCCAGAGGCACTGCTGGAGGATGTGCTGATCCTCTTGGCTTTCCTTCCCATAAAGCCAGGCCAGAGTGACTGCAGAAGCAAACTGAGAGGGGAAAACTTGCTGGAATGAAAGGGCTTGGAGGTTCTCAAGGAGACAGAGCCATAGACCCAGACTGGTTTGGGTTGGAAGGGACCTTGAAGACCATACAGTGCCACCCCTGCCCTGGGCAGGGACACCTCCAAGCCCTGTCCATCCTGGCCTTGGACACTTTCAGGGATCCAGGGACAGTCACAGCTTCTCTGGGCACCCTATGCGAGGGCCTGCCCACCCTCACAGGGAACATTTTCTTCCTAACAACCAATCTAAATATCTGGTCTTTTCATTTAAAACCATTTCCCCTTGTCATGTCACCATCTGCCAGTGTAAAAAGCTGCTCTCCCTCATTTTTATAAGCCCAAAACACTGCAAGGGGCTCTGAGCTCTCCCTGAAGCCTTCTCTTCTCCAGGCTGAACACCCCCAGCTCTCCCTGAAGCCTTCTCTTCTCCAGGCTGAACACCCCCAGCTCTCCCAGCCCAGCTTAGAGCAGACGGGCTCCAGCCCTTGGAGCATTTCTTTGGCCTCTCTGGACTCACTCCAGCAGCTCCACATCCTTCTGATGTTGGGTCCCAGGGCTGGAGGCAGCTCTGCAGGTAAGATCTTACCTGAGTGGGCAGAGGGGCAGAATCCCCCCTCCCCTGCTGCCCACTCCCCTTTTGATGGAGCCCAGGATGTCTCCCTGGGCTGCTGAAAATCTGGGAAAAGCCTGATGCCCAAATCTGTCCTAACACTGAACTGTGAAACATCTGCCAGCCCTTTGCAATTTATGCCAGTCCTCGTTTATTTGTGGGTTTTTTGTGTTGTTTCAGGTTGATTCTGCTGGACAGTGGGAATCTGGTCAGGACATCCTCACTTGGGATTGCCTCACTCTCAAAAGAGGGAGATTTTCCCATGGAGCTCCTGGGGCTCACAGGTCCCTCTGTTCACACTGCGGTCGTAGGAAGCTCCAAGGTTTCCCTTGTGCACCCATGGAAAACCAGGGTGGACAGTGGACAATGGAAGGCAGAAAGGGCAGCTCCACCAGCTGAGTGGTGGCTGCATTTGGGGTTTAAAACAGCTGTGTTTTCTGGAAATGTGTTCGATTCATCTGAAAAAAAAAAAAAAAAAAAACCCAACAAACACAAAACCCTGAACAAATGGCAGCTCCCTTAAATGTCTTTAAATTTCTTTAAATATCTTTTCATTTTCAGCTAAGTTCCTGAAAACCTTGCAAAATTTACACTTCCTTAGTGTTTTCTGGGGGAAAAGAGAAGTCTTGCTGTCCCCTCCCTGCCCACCCCATCTGCCATGTGTGGTGTTTGCATTTGCTCCCATCACTGCAGCAGGAATTGGGCAGGGATGCAGGAAAGCTCATTTATCAGTTATTGAATAGCCAGGAGAGTCCAGCACAGCTGTGGCCACCGAGAGCTCCCAGGGGATTATTCTGCCAGGGAAGCTCTTTCCTCAGCAGGCAGAGGTGCATTTTCTATGCCTGCAGGGCTGTTGCAGAGTTTCAGGCTTTAGCTTGGTGGTCAGGGGAAGACAGGCTCGTTTGCAGCAGTGTGAGACGAAGGATTCATTGGGGAAATCTGTTCCATACGTTCTTCTTCCAGCTCTTGGCTCCCAAAGGGGAACCTACGTCCCAAAGGGACAGTGACATTAAGGATATCTGTGCTCAGAGCGCTGCCAGTGCTGACTTATCTGACCCAAATTTACTCAAAAGGGTGAATTAACATTTACATTTCCCAGACTTTCCTTTGGAGTGTGACAGAACCCCCTGAGCAGCCATCACTGTTTTCCCTTTGAAGGCCTGGAAGATGAATGCAGACAGTCACAGCAGCTTGCACACAACTGCAATTATGTTTTTTCAAAAACACAGTGCAGCTTTTCTCCTGTATAAATTCCCTACAAATTCACACCAGTTGTGTCCCTTGCAGCAAATGCTGTCCCTTGCAGAGCAGCCACCCCAGCAGCAGGCAGAGCACCTCTTCAGCACTGTCCCTTAAGGATGTGCAGCAGTGGAAGGTTGGGAGGGAACAGGGGATCTCAGCAGCCAGCTGGAATATTTATTTGTAAATGAATGCCCTCCCTCAAGTTGGCTCCCATGCAGTGGGGTGTTTCTTTTTTTTTCCAAGAGGTTCCTGCTATTTACCCAACTTTCCAGCTGGGCTTCTGCACAGCACAAAGCAGCAGGACCTGCCTGAGTTTGTACAGTGAGTCAACAGCTCAGCAGGGGATTAGAGCCCACAATCCGCTGGCATCGCTGCCTTGGCTCGAACCACTGGACCATGCAGCCTCATTTTGTTCCTGGTACTCTCTGCTGGTATGTGGTTTGTCAGGGAAAAAGCCTCAGCGTGGCTAATAAAGGAGGCACTTTCTAAAGCATTCAAACAAAGCCCGCCTCATCCCAGCACTCCAGCCCAGCCGTGGTGCTGAGGGGTCAGGCTCCCTGTGGGACTGGGAACCACAGGATTCCCTGGGGCTGGGCGGGAGGAAGCTGAGGAGTAGCACCCAGAGGCAGCTGGCACAGAGCCCTGGCACCCACGGCTGCCACACAGGTGACCCTGTGCTGAAACACTGTGACTGCCTGGCTACAGAGGACAGGCAGAGGCTCCAGGTTGGAGCTTCCCTGCTGGGAAGGGTCTCCCGGCCTCCCTCACACCACTGGAGGTCTTTTCTGTCCCTCACACCAGGGGAGGCACCGAGAGCAGCTGTGCCACCAGGTAAGGGAGCAGAGGCAGGCCCTGCAGGGCAGTCAGGGCACGAGGTGCTGTGGGCAGTCCTGCTCAGTGCACACGAGCAGAGGGCATCGGGTACTGAGCTGGGAGCCACGACAGGCTCTGGGAACAGGGAACCCAGACCCAGGGCTGGGCTGGCACCTCCCTGCAGCCTTCACTGCTCAATGTCTGCCAGACACGGGGGCAGAGAGGGTCGAGTGTGTGCAGCCTCTGTGCCCCTGTCTGAGAGCCAGCCCCATACTCAGGGCTTACACCGAGAGCAGAGTGGGCACTGCATCCATTCTGTGCACCCAGCGAACCCCTCTGCATCCCTGTGCCCCAAATGCATCCCTGTGCATCCACTGCATCCCTCTGCCCCCAGTGCATCCCTGCTGTGCATCCAGTGCATCCAGTGCATCCCTGCTGTGCATCCAAGTGTGCCCATGCATCCCACGTGTCCGTGCTGTGGGTGCATGCATATTTTGAAGAGCAATAGTCTCTCCTTTCCGTTTGCATCTCCTGAAGGGGCTGCTTGCCCTGACACCCCCAAAATGCACTAGTCTGGTCAGCTGCTGATATGGAGATCTCCCGGGCCCGGTTCATGGGTGTGCCCCCCACACGCCGCTGGTGGACAACCCGGGGTGCTCCACGAAGGGCCGGGCACCCCTGGGAGCTGCAGGACCCGCCGCATGTCCTGCACGGGATGACAGAGGAGGCTCAGCAGGGACGGGGCCCTGGGAGAGGAGACGGAAAGCAGCGGGTGCCTCCGCAAGACCCCGCCCGTGGCCGGGGGGCGTCCCGCGGGACGTGCGTGGGGACACCCGGGGGGCCTCGGTGCCCCGGGGACGGAGGGGGCTCCGCAGCCCCCGCAGCCCGGCGCGGCCCGGGAGCGGCTCCGGGCGGGGCGGCGCGGGGCCGTGCGGGCGGTG